GGAAAAGGGCGGACACCAGCGTGACAGACCTGGGAAACAAATGAATACAACAATAGAACTGTTACGTGGCCAGCGGAAAAGGGCGGACACCAGCAGTGACAGACCTGGGAGACACATGAACAGAATTCCTGCGTGGCCAGCGGAAAAGGGCGGACACCACCAGTGACAGACCTGGGAGACAAATGAATATAGATGTCGCATCCCCAGTGAAAAAGGGCGGACACCAGCAGTGACAGACCTGGGAGACAAATGAATAGAAATGCTACACGGCCAGCGAGCCAGTCGAAATGGGCGGACACCAGCAGTGACACAAAGGGCGGACACATCTTAAGAAAGAATTGAGAACCCCTAAAAGTAAACTGTTTGGGGAAAAAGTGGGAAACAAATGCAAGGAAGTGGGAGACAAGCCGGCCGGAAAGGAAGTGGGAGACAAGCCAGCCGGGAACCCGCGGGAAGCCGACCACAAGCACCCAGGGAGACAAATGAAAAGAAGTGGGAGAGAATTGAAAGGAAGTGGGAGACAAGCCGGCCGGGAACCCGACCACAAGCACCGAGTGTGGGAGACAAATGAAAGGAAGTGGGAAACAAGCCAGCCGGGAACCCGACCACAAGCACCCAGCCTGGGAGACAAATGAAAAGAACTGGGAGACAAGTGAAAAGAAGTGGGAGACAAATGAAAGGAAGTGGGAGACAAGCCAGCCAGAAACCCGACTACAAGCATCCAGCGTGGGAGACAAATGAAAAGAACTGGGAGACAATTAAAAGGAAATGGGAGACAAGTCAAGCAAGTGGGAGACAAGCCAGCCGGGCCAAATGAAAAGAAGTGGGAGACAAATAAAAGGAAATGGGAGACAAATGCAAGAAAGTGGGAGACAAGCCAGCCGGGAACCGGACCACAAGCACCCAGCCTGGGAAACAAATGAAAAGAAGTGGGAGACAAATAGAAGGAAGTGGGAGACAAGCCGGCCGGGAACCCGACCCACCACAACCATTCAGCCTGGGAGACAAATGAAAAGAATTGGGAGACAAATGAAAAGAAGTGGGAGACAAATGAAAGGAAGTGGGAGAGGGAACCCGACCACAAGCACCCAGCCTGGGAGACAAATGAAAAGAACTGGGAGACAAGTGAAAAGAAGTGGGAGACAAATGAAAGGAAGCCTGGGAGACAAATGAAAAGCGCTGGGAGACAAATGAAAGGAAGTGGGAGACAAGCCGGCCGGGAACCCGACCAGACCATCCA